AGAAAAATATGAGATGGCATTTGAGAGGTATAATTTCTTGTCTTAAGTTTTGTTTTTGGTTCTTTTAGTTTGGTTGAGTTTATTTATATTTTTGTTTAAGAATTGTGAATAGTTTGCTTTGTTTTTTGAAGATATGTTAGAAGTGATAAAGATATGAAAACTGAACTGAATTATGGGAAAAAGGCACCTGGTTTTCCATCATGCATTGACTGGGAAAATGTGAGAAGGGTGGTTCGGTTTTTGGAGCACTTCTACTACTTAACTGAGAAGGTTTTTGGTAGTTTATATACTACCAGCAACCTTCTCTTTCCTGAAATTAGTGAGGTTTGTTTCTTGAACTTACAAATGCCTTGATATATTTTAAATTTGATTTAAAATTAATTATATGTTAATAAATATATGTGTATGCTGGTATATTATGTCATTGATTAATTTTTATTTCTAATTGAATTTTAAGGTTGATTGTTTGTTAAAATCTTGGGAGAAAGATGTGGATGTAAAAGACATGGCACAATCAATGAGGGAAAAGTTCCACAAGTATTGGGGTACTCCTACAGAAATGAACAAAAATATTTTCCATGCTGTAGTTCTTGATCCTAGGAACAAATTAGGATTTCTTGAATTTTTATTGATAAAAGTGTATGGTAAAGAACAAGGAATGCAACATGGTAAAATGGTTTGTTGTGAATTGAAGAGGTTGTTTGCTGAATATAAGAAAACAGTTTCTGGTGGTGGGCAAACTGTAGTTCTGGAGGGTAGTACTAGTGCTAGTAATGCCCCTAGTGAGAGTGAGTCCAAGTATAAGAGTAGGCAACAACTTAAGTCTGCTTACAAGAGGTTCAAAATTGAGAATGGGTTTATGTCGGAGAAAACTGAGCTAGATAAGTATTTGGGAGAGGATGTTGAGGATGATAATGATGATTTTGACTTACTTGGATGGTGGAAGTTGAATGCTCCAAGGTTCCCTGTCTTGGCAGCAATGGCCAGAGATGTTCTGGCTTTTCCGATTTCAACTGTTGCTTCTGAGTCGGCTTTTAGCACGGGAGGGAGAGTTCTTGATGCTTTTAGATCATCTCTAACCCCAAGAATGGCACAAGCCCTTATTTGTGCCCAAGATTGGTTGCGGAGTAAATCGAGAATAGTTTCGGAAGAGGAAGACTTGGATCTGTTGGACGATCTCGAGAAAGGTATGATCTTGTAACATTAATTTCTTTTATTTCATTTAACATTTTAAACATGAATTGACTCTGTTTTTTTACTGTTTGTAGAATTTGACAAAGTGCACATGGATTCTGCCATTCTAGAATGAATGGCTTGAAGGTTTAGTCTTTGGTGTTATGGTAGTAGGTAAAGTAATCTCACTCATTTTTAACTAACTTCATCATGTTGGAATTAATTAGGCACTGGTAGCATATTATTTTTTTTTTCTTATAATTGCTGGATTGATTTTTTCTTAATTGCTGGATTGTTCTATTCTAATATTTATATGGATTGATTTTTTCTTAATTACTAGATTGTGTTTTTCTTAGTTGCTGGATTATATTTTTCTTAATTGTTGGATTGTATTTTGCTGGGTTGTATTTTTCTTCATTGTTGGATTGTATTTTTCTTAATTGTCGGATTGTATTTTGCTGGGTTGTATTTTT